GGCGCCTGCGCGGGAGGGAGGGGCGGGAGGCGTGTGCCGGCTGAGGGGAGTGAGGCTCCGCGGGGTCCCCTCAGCGCCTGCGCCGTCAAAATGACAGCGAAGCTCTTAAAATTGGCCTTTAATACCGACTTCTTGTTACTAATTGATCGCGGCGGGGTGAAGGTACCGTAAGTGCTCTCCCGGGCCTTTACCTGCGCTCTGTGGAGAAGGAGACGGCGTTACTGAACCTGTAGGAATCGGTAGGAAGGGCCATAAAAAAAGCAAATGTGAACATCACCCAGAAGGAAAAGGAGGACGTGGACTTGTTGGAGCAGGTCCAGAGGAGGACCGCGAAGGTCCTAAGAGGGATGGAGCCCCTCTGCTGTGAGGACAGGCTGAGAGGGTTGGGGTTGGAGAGGGCTCCGGGGAGACCTTATAATGGCCTCCCAGTGTCTGAAGGGAGCCTACAAGAAAGCTGCAGAGGGACTTTTTACAAGGGCATGTGGTGACAGGATGAGGGATAATGGCTTCAAACTGGAAGAGGGTACTTTTAGATGACAGATTAGGAAGAGATTCTGTGCTGTGAGGGTGGTGAGAGCCTGGCCCAGGTTGCCCAGAGAAGCTGTGGCTGCCCCATCCCTGGAGGGGTTCAAGGGCAGGTTGGATGGGGCTTGGAGCAACCTGGTCTGGTGGGAGGTGTCCCTGCCCAGGGCAGGGGGGTTGGAACTCCATGATCTTTAAGGTCCCTTCCAACTCTGACCATTCTGGAAGGTCTAGCCCTAATATTTGTGTGCAACAGAACATGGTTTTATGCTTCGTTAATGCCAAAACGGTTATGGCTGTGATAAAAATAATCTTGTGGCTTTTCCTTGCTCTGTTCGCTTTGAATTTACAATCCAGCTTTGAAATAACACCAAAAGAGATCCAAAAACTGGAGTACATCAATTACTGATATTCCAAACAATCATCTTAATGAGCACCAAACGATTTCAAGACACTGATAATTGAGAAAGCTATTAATTCTGTAGGTCATACACCCAGAGGTGTTAACTTCTTTATGTACAATTACTTTAAAACGTAGTAAGTCCATCTTGCTGATGGCTGGAGAGGAAATTAATAAAGATTTACCTAAGGTGGGAAATGCCAGGATGAAACTGCAAGCTGTTCAGTGCTGTGCTTCTAGCTGAACTGCATTTTTTTCTCTTACCATATTTCTCCCTCTTTTTCACAAGAATTAGGAAAGGACAATTTCAAGTTCTCTTTTTATCCTCCACCTAATCACACAAACACAACAGACACCTGTGTGAATTTACTTTTGCTTCAGAAAGCTTTTTTTTTTTAAACATTGTTACACTGTTATCAGGAGAGAAGAAAATGTGGACCTTGGGCATGGACAGCGCTGGATTCCAAACTCAATGAAACCTGTTCTTGTGGATGTAGAAAAGACCCTACAAAAGTATAATGTGTTTCTTTCCTTCAGAGGACTGATGCACCACAAGTTGACATTTCCATTATTGATCATTTTTAATACAGACTTTTTCCATCATTTACGCAAAAATAAATATAAAATTTAAGAAAACATTATTGACATTATACTGCTAAATAAGGCAGGAATTTGTTCTAGAAAGTGAATACCTGTAATATTAGTAGTTACACTAACTAATTTTCCTTTCAGGACATAGTTCTTCTGTCAGTCAAGCAACTGAGATGTTGATGGGAACTGTGTCTTTATAACCGAGGACAGATTCTGACATACCAGTGATTTAAAACAACAACAACAAAAAAGGACTTGGTTTGAATATACCATACTTTTAAAAATCTTTGATTTTTATTTTGGTTGTAATTTATTAACTAAGGTACGACTCTGTATCTTCTATAAATAGAACATCATTATCAAGATACTCCAAAATGATATTTCCACCATTGTACAATGGGCAGTCTTTATCAGATAACCACGTTTCCAATGTGTGCTCAAATGGCAAGGCTTCTCCAGAGGCACTATGGCATAATCTCAATTTCTGTAAGACAAAACAGCACAGAAATTAACATCAAGATTTGCCTAGCTGAGATGCAATTAGTGGGGTGGGGTAAGGGAAAAGAGTTTAAAAAAAAAAAAGAAAAAAGAAACACCCAACAATCTGGAAAATGTTAGTTATTATTACTGATTTACCTGGGATGTTGATTTGTTGTTGTCATTTTTAAGGCTTGCTAAGGAAGCTGCAAAATCAACTACTTTGCCAATACTCCACTTACTGCAAAAGAACATGGGCTTGCTCTTCTCTTTGTTCCCCTTTGGTAAAAATACTTGAAAATAAATTCTTTCTGTCTAGAAAAACATGGAAAATAAACAAACAAAAAAAAGTTGTTCAAAGAAGAAACACATAATTCTAGTCATACACATCTAATAGTTTTTTCAGTAAAAAGCTTAAATGTCAACCCCAAAATTACCAATTGGAACTTGTTCTATTTTATCAGGACCAAGGCCCCATTTCACTGTGGAATATTAATGACTGAGTATGGGATGGACAGTAAGGGCAGAAAGGCAGAGGGAGAGTCCCACAGTTAGAGACTGTCAGCTATAGACAGACCTGAAAAGGTGTCTGCCCTGGGTGGACTAGACAATAACGACCACTCCGGAGACAAAAAGGTTACTTTAAATAAGCAGTGCTGGCTTTTGGCAGCAATATAACGTCTCAAATTGGAATGCAGAGGCAGTTAAACCAGAACAATTCACTGTACTACAAATGCCTGCTTCACAAACCAACATTCTGGTCATGGCCAGCTCATCCTTTATCCTGTTTTTCCTCCGTTTCTGTACTAAATGTTCTTTCAGTATCTACTAGACTGAAACATTTGTTTAAGAAATTTCAAGAGTAATCTACGAGGGAGAGACTTTGAACGGGATTAGGACAATCCCTTCAATTTTATTTCTTCTTCTTGTTCACCAGAAGACACAGCAAGCATGGCTGGTTCAGCAGTTAAGACTGCCCTTGCTGAGTGCAAGCCAGACACTAACAAACAAGACAGAAGCCTTCTTTTTAAAGGACCTATTTATGCCTTCCCTAGAAAAAAGAAGGCTATGTTCATAAAACCCAGTCTGAATTTCAACATGTGCATTTTCTTCAAAACTTGAGGGCTCTCCACACACAAGAAGGTCTTTAACACCCAGGAATGTTACAAAGGGGCAAGGGAAGCAGGACTTGAATCTCCTTAAAATGTAAATGACCACGACACAACAGCCACAGACTGTGGGACAGCCACAGGGACACAGGCTAACATCACCCAACAGCTATCAGCACCCCAGCACCTCCCTACAGTTGCTCCTCCAGTTCCAAGGACATCCCAAAGATGTAGATTCCATAAATTTTCAGACCAGCTTGTTCCAAAGTCTGACAACCCTCATTGTGATTTTTCTTCCTATTACCTAATTGGAATTTCACATGTTGCAGCTTGCACCCATTGCCCCCTGTCCTTTTACTCTGCATCTCCAAGAAAAATGTGTCAATCTTCTCTGTAGTGATGAGAGAAATACTGGGCGTCAGAGGCATTACAGAAACTTCATATTAAAAAAAAAATCTGTCATCAAACTAGAACAAGCTGGGCAGAAGGCAGCTAAAATGAGTCTAGGAAGCAATTTAAATAGAGAGGTGCTGAAGGTTAACAGGCTTAATTTATCACTGTTAGAATTATCACTACTCTAGATGATTAAACAATTAATATTCAAACGAGAAAATGAACAGTAAGAGAAATTAGCATACAGTAATTTGTGCTACACTTTCCAGAGCTTACTGGCCTTGGAGTTAAAAAGCAGCTGTTATATATGTTGAGGGTGGGCTTTTTTAATTATGTTCCTCAATATTTGAAATTAATCACTTTCCCTCCAGCACATATTTATTAAAGTGGTACTATCTGAGAAAAACGCTACAAGCAGGACTTTGGGTCTTTGTTATTATGACTTCTGCTTAAGCAGAGTTATCTAATTTCTGAGCATGCCAAAGTATTAAAAAAAAAAGAAATTCATAAGAGAATTCAGTAATGGAATAGCTGTAGTTGTTTTAAAAAAAATAATTAAATGCTCTACTAAGGTCAGACCTAGCAATAACCCTATCACATAGAATGTTTTCAGTAATATAAAATCAATATAACAGGCCTAAACTTGGCATGCTCCAACATAACAATGTGGTGAAAAGTACTTTAAATACTGTTCTTTTAAGATGCGTAAGTACAGATCTAAATTGAAACCCTAGCTGAAAGAATCAAGGTGTTTCTAGACCCGACGTAATCCTGATACGTGGAAAGACTTGAACAACAGGTTTGACTGGCCGTGGTAAAACATAAGGAATCTACGAAATACTTCAAGAACAAAAGAAATTAAAAGCTGAAAGAAATATAAAGCAACTATCAAAACCCTTTTTTCCAACCCAAAGACAGGAACAACTGACCTCAGGCCCTTCATACCTCATCCAGAAATGTCATAAATGTCTATTAAATCTGAGTAGAAGTAAGAATGGATTAAGTATTAAGATTTGACCCAACAGGCAGAGGGTCCAGGTGATCAGGAAGCATAAGCTAAGCCGTGCTACACAATTCTGTGCCACACAATTCTGTGCCACACAATTCTGTGCCACACTACTTACAAAATTGTGCTACGCTGATTCTGATTCTAGGCTATGCTGACCATCAAATTCTGTTAAAATAATGAAGCTTTAATTGTCACTACAACATAGTACTGTCATCATTCTGCCAAGGATCCCCAAAAGTCCCTGCAGTGTTGGGTGACAGTCGTATGGCAGGCAAATAGACATTTCTGCTATAAAACAGAGGAATTGCTCCTAACTGCACACAGAGACCCACCTTATAACAGACATAAGACTCATGAGATTGCTTTTTGCTACCAGGCTGAAATATACCTATAAATGGTTGCGGGCTTGAGAATGAAATCCAAAACCAAACTGAGGGAACTAAATGAAGAACAAGAAATTTAGAAAACTTCCCATTTACTTTAAGGATTCAATTATTGAAAACAACCATGACTGACCTGAGGCAAGGACTTGTCCCCACACGCATGCATCTTCAGTTTCATTAAAGCCACTTTTGCTGCTGTTTCACTGTTTTTCGCTCCTTTACGTTTTTTGCTTTTTGCTTCCTCGTTCTTTTTAGAATCTGAAAACAATATTATTCCTGTTAGTGTGATGATTCAGACTGTCTCCTGAACATATCTTGGAATTAGTCTATTTGGCCTCATTGTATCTCCAAGGTTCCCATCCCTTTCATGTCCTCTGGAGGCCATGATGTCAGTACTCCTATTCAAGAATATTTGGAATTGTTGCAGCGTAAAGGAATCCTGCTAGAACTGGAAAGCAGATGAATACTATCACGAGGTAAACACAGGTTGCAAAAGCCAAATAAATACAAATTCCTAAGTTTCCACACCTGTGGCCAACACAGTATTCATATGGCAACAGTTTCAGGTCCTCCTTTCTACACATATATTCTGCCCTACAGTTAGCAGGGCTGTTTATTCTCTTTCCTGTCCTAGAGCGTGTTTAAAAGCTGCAGAACATGACATTGTAGACTCACATTTTTTGCCATCTTGGTTCTGTAGGTATAATCCCAGCAGACAGGCACGTGCACAACTACATTGGGTGCACATGAATTAATATGCAAATAATAATGGCTAGGTACAATTCATTACTTTACAGCACTTGTAGGATGAGAACAAGACAGTAATTCTGAAATACATCTGAGCCCTATTTGATCTTTAAAGAATCTCTTCAGAGACATATGCATCTGTTGTCTCAGTCTAGAAGAATGGTATCACATGCTGATACGTGAGTTTAGGGCGGTTTAAACAAGGAACCCCCATCTTTTCTTCTCACTTGGTCAATTCAAAACCCTGAGAGGACGTCACAAGCTCGAATAGCCTTCTGAAGAAAACTGCAGAATATATATCCCACTGTACTTGCCTATAATGTGTTTAACTAGCTGCTGGGTGGCAGCCATGCGGGGTTTTGGGGTGTCCAGTTTCTCACATTCATGGTCTGACTGATGCCGGTGCCTGTAAAAATCAGCGTAAAAATGTCATGACCTTTCCCGTACACTAATGAATGAGGCTTGGTGTTTAAACATTCTGTTTCGCTCACCTTAGACAAAAATGTTTTTCACAGTAGGGACATAAAACTGGCAAAAGCTCCTTTCCGTTGCAGTCCTTGTATGAGCATGGGTAAGATCTGTGCTGATCTGGTTTCACAGAGTTGTTCCTTATATTCACCTAGGTATTAGTGCAAAATAGTTTGTGTAAATGAACAGACATTACAGATAAAAGTCACCGCCCCGGCTTTCCGAAAGAACTGTGCTAGCTCTCCAAACAAAGGGCAACAAAGCTGGTGAGGGGTCTGGAGAGTAAGTCTGATGAGGAGATGCTGAGGGAACTGGGGTTATTCAGCCTGGAGAAGAGGAGGCTGAGGGGAGACCTTATTGCTCTCTCCAACTCCCTGAAAGGAGGGTGTAGAGAGGTGGGGGTCGGTCTCTTCTCTCAAGTCACAGGCGACAGGACGAGAGGAAATGGCCTCAAGTTGCACCAGGGGAGGTTCAGGCTGGATATTAGGAAAACTTTTTCACTGAAAGGGTTCTCAGGCATTGGAATGGGCTGCCCAGGGAGGTGGTTGAGGCACCATCCCTGGAGGTGTTCAAAAGACGGGTTGATGTAGTGCTGGGAGGTCTGGTTTAGTGATGATGCTCCTTGTTTGTTGTGTGGGTGTCTATTTTTGTCAGTTAGGTTGACGGTTGGACAAGATGATCTTTAAGGTCCCTTCCAACCTAGAAGATTCTGTGATTCTGTGATTCCACAGGCAAAATGAGTTCAGCAATTCTCTCCTACTTTGGTCCTCGTTAAGTTTTGGTTGGTGTTATAAAAAGAACCATCATCCTACTCAAACTCAGTTTACTTCGGAGAGCCAGAAAAAGAGCAGATACATTTTTTTTAAGCTTGTCACATTCTCAGTTAAATAATTCATATTTATATACTATATGCATATATCTAATCTGAAAATAAACAGTTAAGTTACACAGGATTTTAAGGTAGTCATATATTACCTCAGAACACCCATGAGCATCCCGGCTCCTGTGCTGTAGGCTTTGTGCAAAAGAAGAAAACACCAGAGTTATTGACATTCCAGGAAAAGAAAACTTCATGTGAAAACATTTAAGTGTTTAAAGAGTGATCTGACAAGTTTTATCATGGGAAAGCTTCAAGGACATAGTGAATCCTCTCCAATGCATTTCATGTCTTTAATGGATTTATCATATTCTTCCTGAGCATGTAAAATATGTAGCTTTTGGAACTCATGCCCCAAGATAACAAACCTTTCCAAGAGAATAAGAACATTAGCACGCTTGAGAATTCAGCTCAAAGCAACTGGAGTTTGTTTGTTCTAATGGATTTGGAATCACCTTCCACGACCGCAGAAAACCCTTAAAGGCTTCTAACGTGTTAAAGTGAGATCTGCTCTCAATTTATCTGAGCTTATCTCAGCTGCCCTCTGCTCATCTGATGTGTAAATCAAAGTGCAGGCCCTGATTTGAACCTTGGAAGAAACTTCTATTTTTTTTCTTACAAGGAAAAATACCATGCCCTATCCCCCACCACCAAAAAAAAAAAAAAAACTTAGTACAAAACAGGATGTAAGCTAGATGCCTTCCAAAATCATCTACCTGTATTCTAGAGATATCCCCACTGACATCAAAGCTCCACAACAACCACTCAGGAAAAATGTGGCAAGTTCAATGACACAATTATTTTTTAACTAAACGTTATCTGAACTGAGTCACAGAATGTTTTATACAATATTTAGGTCTACAATACCAGCCACACTGTGATCTTACAGGAAAACCAACTTAATTTCCTTTTATGACAAGGTCACTCATATAGTTGACCTAGGGAAGACAGTCTATGTGGTGTTTAGGGATTTTAGCAAAGTTTTTGATACTGTCTCTCACAGTATCTTTCCGGATAAAACATCCAGCACACAGCTAGACATGTCCATAAAACGCTGGGTGAGCAACTGGCTGACAGGTCGGGCTCAAAGGGTTATAGTAAATGTTGGGGTTCTACACAAAAATTGGGGGATGAGAGGCTGGAGAGCAGCCCTGCAGAAAGACATCTGGGGGCCTGGGGTGATGGCAAATTGAATATGAGTCAGCAGCGTGTCCTGGCAGCCAAAAGGGCCAACCAAGTCCTGGAGTGCATAAAGCACAGTGCAATTAGCTGTTCAAGCAAGGTGATTGTCCCACTCTACACTGCACTGGTACGGCCCCACCTTGAGTACTGTGTGCAGTTTTGGGTGCCTCAACATAAGGACATCACACTATTGCAGCGTGTCCAGAGGAGGACGAGCAAGATGCCCTGGAGGGAGCGACTGAGGTCACCTGGTTTGTTCAGCTTGGAGAAGGGAAGGCTGAGGGGTGACCTCATGGCAGTCTACAATTTCCTCAAGGAGGAGGAGATGCTGATCTCCTCTCTCTGGTGACCAGCGATAGGACAAGAGGAGATGGAATGAAGCTGTGAGGGGAAGTTCAGGTTGGGCATTAGAAAAAGGGGAGGTCGGTCACTGGAACAGGCTCCCCAGGGAAGTGGTCATGGCACAAAGCCTGACAGAGTTCAAGGAGTGCCTGGATGACACTTGTAGTCCACTTGTAGTCTGGTTTAGTTTCAGGTAGTCCTGAGTTGGACTTGATAATCCTTATGGGTCCCTTCCAACTCCAGATATATTCTATGAACTTACCAAAAGACACCTGAACAGCCATCACATACAAAGGGGAGAAAATCTGAAACAAAAAGATTTTTTTTCATTTAGACAATAATGTTGTTGCTTTGCTAATAGTTTTTAGCTTAATTTTTGCATGATCAACTGTTACTTATTTATATCACGGGGTAGGTATCTTTACAAGGACACTTAGTGAATGTATTTACACGGAAGTGGCTGTTGTAACACAGTTCCACTGTTACCTCCTCTACTTAGTATTACTGGGAAACATACCAATAGGTAAATTAGATTTAGATGCATTCCAAAAGTTGGAATTAGGCTTTGGTTTTTTTTCAGTATCAAACTTTGAAACTTGAATACTTGGCTAGTCATCGGCCTTACCAGTTACGTTAAAAACTGAATTTATTGCAAGACCACTCAAAATACTATTTACTGACTGCTGGAGCAGTGGACAATCTACATTTTTATTATATGGATTGCCAGCTGGAGGAGATGCTATCGCTTCCAGAAAGTGAGCATCCTGTCCATTTGACAGTCCTGGTAATCCTGCTCCTTCCTCTCTATCCTTGTGTAATTAAACAGCATATATTTCTTAAGTCTCTGCACACATTCCCCATCCACTGCATCGGTTCTTACAGATAAAATCACTTGACTTTCTGCTGAACTCAGCCACATCACCAACGGCGGCAAATGCCCACCTCCAGGCCATTATTCCATTTCTCCACCCTTCAGATTTGGTCTCAATGGACCACCACGCAACCGGACTACACAGCTCAGGTCACAAAGATGTCGGTCACTTCATCTGTAAGAACCGAGGGCTTTCAGTACAAGCTGCTTTGCTGCCTCTTTCTGAAAGGTTACATTTTTCAGTAACACCATTCCTCAGGCGAATGAAGACAAGCAAGAGGGAAGAATGATAAAACAGGGTAACAACAGTCGACAAAGCAGGGCAGTAGGGGATTCATCACCCGGTGACACAACTTGAAGGACAGGCCCCGGCAGCCGCTCGGGGAGGCCTCCAGCAGTGCAGAGCCCGCCCCAGGAGGGGAACACCACCTCACAGCCTCCTCAGCACCTCCCCGGGCCCCCTCAGCACCGTCCCCGGCTCCCTCAGCGCCTCCCCCGGTCCCCTCAGCACCTCCCCCGGTCCCCTCA